AGTAGAAGGTCACAGTAGGAACTGGGTTTGTACAAATATCGAATAAGGATATATACAAGCTAAATTAGGATATAGTATAGTATAGTTAGATACCACAGCACCTTATTGGTTTGGGAGTTAGTGAAGGGACAACTTGTGATAGGGTTTAGGCTCTGAACTATAAAGTTTGTAGACTAATGTTAGCTCGGATGTCTTCCAGAAGAAATAGCACAGGGTTAAGCGAATTTGGTAAAACAAGAATAGAATACAGGTAAGTGTCATAGGGCCAGAGAGTTTAAATAGGTAATCTTCAAATAGATTTCAGGTATAGTAGCTAGTATAGAACCTTCGGGCAGACTACTTAAATTAGACAATCTAAAGTTGTACGTATAGCTAGTTGTACTCTCACAATATATATCATTTACTCACTATCAATACTAATAAAAAATTTGGCCGATGGCATTTGTATAAAAAAAAAAAAAAAAAAAAAAAAAAAAAAATAATAATATAAACTAATAGTATTTTATAAAAATATTTTTATAAAAAATGATATCTCTAGTTGCAGATTTTGAAATGTTCTAAATATTTAAATTATACTATTACTTCAAGCTCAGATATAGTATATGTGCTAGTATATATTCTTTCTAACTACCTTCAAAATAGCAAAAAGTATAAATATAATATAAAATCAATTTATAGTTATAGTCTCAATTTGAGAACTTACAAGCAGATTTTCTTTTATTTAATAATTTTATAAAGATAACTATTACTATAATAATTTTACAAAATAATAGCAAAAAATAATTGCTAATACACTTAGAGTATGCTAATTATACAAAATATTAGTCTTTTAAAACAGAACAGTAACTTGAATTAGATAAAATATAATTTTAAAAATATTTATTACATGAAAGTTAATATATGTTAGATAAATCAAATATATCTATTTAATAAATATAATATAATAATTTGTACTATAAAAATTAAAATACATAATAAGAATATAATATTTAAAAATATCTTTTTTTTTTATATAACCTTTATACAATCTATCTTGTTATATATTATAAAAGATCCTAGATAATTAATAATTGCTTTCAGCAAATATATATAAAATATACTTCTAATATACTTAATAGCTTTACATATTTCAAATTCTTTTGCTAATTGGGTATTTATAGTAGCTTGCTCATTCTTTATTAATTTGAGTTGACATGCTTTTCTTTTAGACTATCTTTTTACATATTTCATATTCCTATTTTTTAGTTTGAAAATCTTTTTTATGTGATTTTCTATAACTTGCTTTTTATTTTTGAGTACTATCTAATGAAATAAAAACTACTATTTAACAAGACTAATTATTGAATAATAATAATAAATATAATATTACTATTAACAAATAAGGTTTTTTTCATAGTTTTCAATATTCTACAAAATAGCTTAATAAAAATTCTTTAGCTTTAAAAGAAAAAAGTAAGAAATTAATATCTATATTATTATTATTATTATTAAAAAAAAAGTTACTTCACTTTAATATTAATTGTTGATTATATGAATTGTAGAATATATCTAGATACTTTTAACTAGCTTTCTAGAATTAAAGTAATTCTATTTATACTTATCAGGTAAGTAATACTAGTATTATAATATGTAAAATCAACTTAATAAATATATAAACTAATAAACTTAACAAGTAATTTTTCTACTTCTGATCTTTTAATATTTTCAAAAAAAAGTAGTGATATATTTATTTGTTGCTAAAAAGTTTGATTTGATATTTGTTTTTACTTTTTAAAAAAAATTTTTTTTAATAATTATTAATAAAAAATATTTAAATTATAATAAAACATAAAATAACTTACATCTGGTACTATTCATATAAATCTCTTATTATATTACTTCAATTTTATTTGATAAAAATACTCAAGATTATATATACTACTAGTATTACCTATCTTTACAGATTTGATAATAATTAAATACTTTTTATTTCTTTTCAACTCTAATTCCTTTATCATAACAAAATCTGATATTATTCATTTTAATATATACTTTATTTCTGCAAACTTTTAGTAAGAAAGAAATAGCTTATGTTAATCTTTTTTATTTTCTATTCTGTTTCTATAACAATTTCATTATTTATTCTCTAATTTTTCTTTTTGTGTAATTTTGAAGTTATTTATTCCACTAATAGTTTCTAAATATTTATATTTTTGGTATTATTTTTTTAATAGCTAAATATGAGAGTATTACTTTCAACTTTTTTAAAAAAAATCTATCATTTATTTATAGTTATTATTTTATTATCTATCAAAAACTTGTATGATTGAAATTGTGAATAATACCTTTAAACAGAATAGTAATTAGCATTAAAACATAATTACTAAAAAATTAAAAGTTAGCTAAAAAATAATAATAATAATATGAATAAAGAAATTTGATATTACCTAATAATGATTCAATCAAATAGACAAAACTTATTATATTTTATATTCATATTAATATTAGGCACATGAGTTGAGCTTTTTATCATTATAAAACTTGTCATTTATATTTTTAGAGATTCTCTGATTTTTTGAACTTCTGTCAAATATTATATATGAATTATTTATATCTTCATTTGCTCTCTTCTTTTCTGACCATTTATCAGTAACAATACTAACCCACATCTCGACGCAGATCGCACTTTCTATTACACCGTCGATACATACGTACGCACGAAAATACTTTGTTTTTATTGGAAGAAGTGTGACAAGCTTGTCACAGTAAATTACGCAAATTACATGGAAAAATAAAATCGAAATCATTTATTGTTTATGCTTGAAGGAGTGTGTCACGCTTGTCATAGTAAAATTACACAAATTATATAAAGTTCTTTATAATAAACTATATTATACAAAGTATATAATACCCTAATACTCAAGAGCATCTGCATGAAGTTAATTTTTTATTTCTCTTTTAAAATTTGGTCATTTACTGTTGAACCTCCCTAGTGATGTGCCGCGTACAGTACTATACGTACAGTACTGTTACTATTGTAAATTGGGAGAGCGGAGAACGTTGCACGGTTTAGCTCCAATAGTTAACGTGGTTTGGACGCGATGACATCTCACTTAACCAGGTGGGATTCAAGCATTAATAATAGTTGGGAATAAAGGAAAGGCAAATCATTGTTTTATGTTACTTTATCAAGAAAGACGTTAACTCTTTTTCTTTATTAAATGAGACAGCCTGTGCTTTTATACATTTTACGATCTTAAGAGGCCTGACCTGTTAGAGGCTTCGTGCTATTACTTTAGCCTCACACAGCCTTTACACAAACTAAAACTCTAACAGTACGCGAAAATTCTTGCCGATCACTTCAGATGAATTCTATCAACCAATCAGATCGCTAGAATCAACTATACGTACTGTACGCGAAAAAAATTCAAAATTAATAACCTGTCAAAACTGATCAAAAATTTTACTATATAAATTCTTTTTAAAACTGATAAACTGATTAAAATTTGGGCCACCAGTCAACAGTACATAAATCAATATCATCTTGATACTATTTTAAATACTACTATACTTACAAATAAGCATTACAGAATTTAAATGATATACGGAATATTTAATATAATTCCATATTACATATGGAAATTCCGTATTTTATATATGGAATTCCTTTATAAATTCCATAATAATTTCCCAGGGCATATTCCATATATAAAATAGTATGTAATATCGATACGGAATTATTCTAAATATTCCGCATAATTCATTTAAATTCTGTAATGCTTTTTTCATAGTATTTTTGCATAAATCCTTAAAAAAAAAAAATCCACAAAGATGTAGATTAGCAATTCTCTATAATTATCGTTATTATTATTTCTGTATTTATAAAAAATGTAGTAACGCTATATGATGAATTGACTAATTATAAAAAAATAATCCGGTTTTTTTTTTTAAATCCGGGTCTGATTTTAAGAAAGATTAAATCTGGATTGCATAAATAAAACCGATTCCAACCTCTAACAAGACGTGATAAAATCTTCTTCAATGTACGAGTAAAACTCATAAAAAGAAATTCTCTCGCCTCTCAAAAAAGATGCCTCCACAAAGTAAAAATAAATAATAAATTTCTGCTACGAATAATACCGAGAGTAATAATAATAATTTTAATTGTAAACTGTGCAAATATATGTTAAAATAAAGTTTGAATTGCATTTATATAAAATATAATTATGTGAGAATGAATTTTAATTGATGATGAGGTAGTTGGACAAACAGAATTCTCAGCAGGTAGCAATAGAGTGTCCTACGTTTCGCTCCAGATAACTTTATTACAGTATTATTATCATTGGATACTATTGCTATATTAATTTTATAATTATATGCCTTGATAACGATAAGTATTAATTTATAAATATTTATATTATGTAATAATATTTTTTTTTTTGCTTTCTTTCGTCCATATATGACTCGATAAGGTAACACAAAATGGCATTCCAGATATCATTTGATTCGTGAGCTTATCAAATATATTTTAGATAAGCCTAAATTACGTATTACATACATATCGATATATTAAAATGAATGAAACTGTGCGAATTGGATCACGATAACGAATAATAAATACTTTGTTGGATGAATATGAAATTCAAGTTTTTTTTTTTATCTTGATTTTTTTTTTTGGCAAAATAAAGTTAAAGTTGACTGAAATGAAATTTACCTGATTATGGTAATACGATTCACAATTTGTCATCATTGCGTTACATTAATGATTCATAAATACGTACTTTATCAACTACTTTTTATTTCTTTTCCTAAATTAATTTGGAATAGACTTGACCATGTGTTTAAAGTCTAGAAACCTAACCCACACGTTTGATTATCACGAGATTCAAGATTTGCGGATCTTCATTCACCTCTAAAAAAGAGTTTCTTGAATTTATTATCATTGTAACACCCCCATGTACCTTAAAATTTATAAATTCCCTAAATTAATTTCTTTCCTTATTGACTTTAAGCTTTGAGAAATGGCTACCGAACGATCCCCTTTACTTGAGAGTAATGTTATTGGTAATTAGTGCATTCATCATTTGTCAACACGATAATAAGTATTTGTTCAAAGTAATTAATTATATTTATATTATGTTAATTTTATATTTGAAAAAAAAAGAACCTCCTCAAAATATACGAGACAATCGTCTTAAGAAATTTCCATTGGGTCTTATCGCACTTCTTATATTAATTATTTCTTTTGTCTTATTTTTCATATTCGTACCACATAACACTCGTAAGCTAAACTAGTCTATTCTGTTAAATTTGATTAATAGTTTTATATATATATATATATATATATATATTTTATTTCCGAACTTAATTTTTTTTCAAATTCTCTAAATAAAGCTTTCCCAATTGAACCTTGGCCTGTTGATCTAACTTCAAATATTTTTTCACACTTAAAAGCATTTAATAAAATTGCATTATATTCTACTGGAAATTCTCGTTCAATTACCGATGGATATAATGCATCAGCTGAATATATTATTGGTAATTTAATTAATAAAACAAAATGTGATGTGAAATTACAATATTTTAAAGTACCTATTTGGGAGAAAGAAAAAAGAAGCAGAGTTAAACATCTCTTTTGGTAGTCTTGATGATATAGTCGTTTTTCAGGGTGGCATCGATTTTTGGAGTGAGTTTTTTTCATGTAGAATCTGTACTATATGTTTATACGTTGATATTTATAAAACGTTTTATTTTTTTTCTATTTCTGTGTATTTGAATAGGTATGCGATATGGTGGTCAAGCTGCAAGTTTGGCTTCTAAAGAAATTATTGAAATACAAGATCCTATTGATAATAAGGATGAATGGAATGTTCAAGGAAAAGTTGCACTTATTCAATTTGGGAATTTTAGCGTTTGGGATGTCGCGTATAAAGCTGAAAAAGTATTTGTTTACTTCTTCAACTACTTAATCTCTTACCAAATAATTAATTCCTTAAATTTATTATCTAATAAATAAGAGTTTTGGATTGTTTTGTAGAGTAAAGCATCTGCTGTTATTTTCTATAATTCTCCAGAACAAAAGAAACTTTCAAAAGTTCGAGTGAGAATTACTGAATGGAAAGAAGGAGGTAATTTATCTTCTTTTTCATAGTCATATAATTATAATAAACACGTTTCAAGTTTCCTATTTGTTAAATAATTAGATCCTTTAATGACTATACCCGTTCTTTCTGCCTCTAATTCACTCGGCCAAATGCTCAAAAGGTCGACCTCCATCAATATTACGACTTATACGAAAATTTTTGTCACCGAAACATTTAACGTATTATGTTATTTAAATGATTATGGTCATAAAAAAAGCACAGTAATACTAGGTGCCCATTTAGATTCTGTTCATGCCTCCCCTGGTATGGTTGATAATGCTTCCGGATCCGCGACTTTGCTGGAGATTCTGTTAACATTAGAGAAACAACATTTTGAGCCAAAGAACAGGTTGGTTTTTGCTTGGTGGGGTGCCGAGGAGATCGGACTGGGAGGATCAAGGCATTTTGTTAGAGAGCTAGTTAATAGTGAAGATAAAAAAGATATTGCAATGTATTTGAATTTCGATATGTTGGGAAGTCCAAATTATATACCATTTGTAAGTATTTCTTTTATTCAGGCAAGTCTTTTTTTTTCATTAATGTTATGCGTAAATTATTTTAATTGTTTTTGATATAGGTTCTGAAAGGTTCTGATGCACCACCAGATATAAAGAACGGGTCAATAAAAATTCAACACGTGTTAGAACGTGAATTCACTGAATTACTTGAGCCTTATGAAACTTCTAGCATGTTGAGTGGTAGTGACTTTTTGCCTTTCATTCAAAATGGGATTCCATCAGGTATGTTCCTTTACCTTATTAAAAATAACAGGTTAAACTACATGTTCTAGATAATAAAAATTAGAATTATTTTTTTTAATAAAGGTGGTCTTTATACTGGATCAAGTGAAATAAAAAGTAGAAAGTCTCAACAAAAATTTGGCGGAATGGCTCACGTACCTTTAGATCCTTGCTATCATCAAGCATGCGACATTTTGGATAACGTTAGCGAAGATGCTATCTCCGTAGTAAGTTTTTTTTTTTTTTTTGGATTAATAGAAGCTAAAAAAAAAATGTCAAAGAAACATCCGAGGAGATGAAGTATATGTATTCATTAATCTTACACATTGTATGTTTTCATTTGGTTAATAGACATCAAAGGTTGCTTTGAATGCTATTGTTTATTTTGGAAATAGAAAAGAATTAAAAAATTATTTGAAAGAAAGTTGAAATATTTAAAGTTTTATGAGTGAAATACGAGGTAAAAAAATTTTGATAGAATATTTTGTGTGTACATGTAAAATATGTATATACATATATAAGTATTTAGTCATTTGTTTATTTATTTGTTTTTATTTGTATTTATGTAAATTTGGGTTTTTTCTATAGTTGATATTTTTTAAATATCATAGCTTTATGTTTTAGTTTAGTTTTGAGTGAGTTTTATTTGTTTTAAATTTCTTGTTCTTCTTAGATCATAAGATCAACATTGTAAAAAACATTATTTTTTCCATTAATTTATTTTTTAATATTCAAATACTTTGACAAATATAATTAATTACTGTACTGTGAATATACTGTATTATTAATAATAATAGAAATATGTTTCTTGCTGTATGTAATATTACATAAATTATTACAGTATTAATATTAATTTCAAAGTAGTATAATTATATTTTAAAAGTTTAACTGATTAATTTATGATTAACATGAAAAAAAATTGTACAGCTTAAAAATACATCACTACCAAGATACCCTATACAATATTTAAAGTCCTATATTATCCACAATTACAATTTACTACCAAACAATTATTTATCTTTTATTTTCCTTGATAACTTCGCTTTTTTTTTCAGTTCATCTATATCTTCAAAGATAACACGAGCTGGTGACAAAAGATGTTTAATTTTCTTTAATACTACAACTTCTTCATATAAACAATATGAAGATGGTTTAGAATGCCATTCTGTAAACAATGACCAAATGTCTCCATCAACTGTAATTTTTTGTTTCCTAAATGGTTCTGATGAAAATCTTTGAATATCCTTTTCATCAGGAACTAAATATTTATCATCTCTAAATTTAAATTTAAAATAATCGAAACTTTTGCAAGGAATTAGATCTTCATATAATGGATCTTGCTTCGAGGTTTAATGTAAAATATATATAAAAAAAATTGTATGATTTAAATTTGGTAAAATAATTATTTTATCAGAAAAAAAATAAAAAATAAAAAAAATATTTTAGAAAGATTATATTTTATAAATATATAGCATATATTTTAGGGAATTAAGAAATTGACTGACTTTATCCCGTAGAAATTTCCATTTTTTATAAAATTCCCAGACTTCATCCTTACAAGCTGCTGGAATTAGATTATTCCATTCTTTACAAGTTCTTCGAAGTTGTATCAAACTTTTGAAACTTTTGAAAAAAAAAAATCCATTTCGAAAGAATTTATAAAATTAATCAAATTATAAATTTTGGTCAATCTTTTTAAAAGAGATTATTTAAATGTATATTTTTTTTTTCAAAATTCATATTATTTACCTAGTAGTTCGTAGGAAATGTCTTAAAATTTGAATCATGAGTTCATTTGGAATCGTTTCCATTTTTTCGATTTTTTGTTTTTTTTTTTTTTTTTACAAATATATTTCGAAAACGTGACTTTTATATATTTTCACTAGAACATAATAAAAAAAATTTATAAAACAAAGATTTATTATTATTTCTATTATTATTTCTATTATTATTACGTGTTATGTTTAACACGGATCTTTATATCACTTATAAAAAAGATCCGTAGTTTTCGGAGTTTAAGTATCGTACGTACGTACAGTACGTATAGTACGTACATGCATATATATATTACTTAAAAGGACACTTCGTCCGATTACGTTTTGTGAAACTACAGTACCAAGGAAACAGGCACGTGATGATCGACAGTAAATCAACCAGTAGCGGTAGTTTAATCAAAATTTGATGTAACGATCAGGAAAATTCAAAACAAACGTTCTAACAAATTTGAGATTATCGTTATATTTACTGGCGTAATCTAGTAAAATCAGTTTGATAATTTAAGGTTGATTCATATTATTTCAAATTGTATTTAAAGCTAATTAAGCAAAGATTTTTCACTTATAATCAGATTGGGATTAAAAAAAAACCCCCATGATATTACATTAAGGGTGTTTTCCTCAATGTTTAGTGATCGAGATCGTACATAAGCATTACAAATAATCCTTATAGCAATTGTGCTGAATATTCACGGTGCGAAATGCGGATATTAAGAGAGTTCTCAAGAAGCTCCCTCAATGTGATTTAAAAAGTGATATATGTGGCTTAATCATTGTCATTAATTGAAGTGTTATTAAGATTAAATGGTAACGATATGCTGAAAATTCATTGTACGTACGAATTGCGGATTTTAAATTTAGCCAATCAGGTAAAAAAAAGATGGTCTATACTTCATCGAAATGATAACTCTTTATTCGAATTCCGACTAATTAAAGTTTTATTCATCAGATCCATTTAGTGACGACTATCTTTTTTTTTTTTTAAAAATTAAAAACTGATCACCAACTAGGTGGGATTTGAGTATCAATGATGGTTGGGAATAAAAGAAGGGCAAACCATTGTATTATGTTACGGTACTTTATGATGAAGAACGAGAGTTCCCTTTTTATTCACCTTGAGACAGTCTGTGCTTTTATACATTTTATGATCTTAACCTCTTACACAAAATAAAACCATAACAGTGCTTAAGAACATCCTAAATAAATCTATACTATTATAATATATTTATAAATTTACTATTTGATACAGGCAGTCCTTATAGTTGTAGGACAATCAGAATTGATGAAAAAAGCTTTAAACTAATTTGCAGATTAATTGGTTATTATACCTTATCAACCAATCTTAACTGATTACAATGGGTTACAGCTGTTCTCAAATTCTGGACAAACTAAAAATTTTATTCGTTTTCGGAAATCTTTCGGTTTCGTTCGTTCTATGTAAAATAACTTTTCAGGTGATTACATCGCAAGTAGTGACGTAATTTCTGAAGAGTTGCTGATTCTTGGGACGAATTTTTAGATTGCCCCAGAATTTATGGGAACAGTTGTAAAAAAATTTCTCAACCAGCTCAACCGAAATTTACCGGTCAGTTTCAGTTACCCAATTATTGTTCAACCGGATAACACAAATACGGCATGCCTATGTAGAGATAAGGCCCGTATAAAATTTCTCCTCCGGGTCACTGACCCGTATTACAAAACCAAAACCGGGTAACTAACCGGGTAATAAAAACCCGGTTAAAATAATTTGTGCCCACATGATTTTATAAATGCACAACAGCCAATCATATTGTAAGATCAGGTGTAACGCTGAACTTTCTGTAATCGGACTTAGAGTCTTGCGAACTGGATATCGTATGGGCCAATTTTTTGATTTAATCAAATTTAATCCAATCATTACAGCTGTTCTCATAAATTCTGGGACAACTGATAAAATTTTGATCGCCGAATTCGATAAGTTACTGATTTCGGT